AATACCATAGGTTGATAGCTTTTTCAACAATAGGTTATGAGGCAACCGATCGAAAGCCTTACTGAAATCTGTATATACTACGTCAACTTGTTTGTGAGCATCCAATGCTTCGATCAAGGTTTCAGAGAGGTCTTCTAAATTAGTACATGTTGATCTAAAAGGAACAAAGCCGTGTTGATTAGTGCTCAAAATTTGTTTAAAATGACGTTGTATAAAAGGACAGATAAGTGATTCCAAGATTTTAGCAAAAGTTGACAAAATAGAGATGGGTCTATAGTTTGCTATTACATCGTTGCTACTCGATTTATGTATAGGGACGACTCTGGCTTTTTTCCACTCCATAGGACCTGTTCGTAATGATATATTAAAGATAGTTAAAAGAGGCGCAACCAAATGCTCAGCACACTTTAATATATTTAATATATTATTAATACTTCATCAAAATTTCAAAAATTAACGTACAAATTTAATTGTATTTTTTCACCAGACGTTGTTTTCTTTGGCTTATTTAGTTTAAGCAAACGTCTCGGCCTTCAGCCGTACTACCTAAATTGTTTTTTTTTATCTATTTTTACACAATTTAAACTGCAACTCCGTTCTGGTCGCGCCACCGGCAAATGCTACACGTATGTGCTCTACTCTAATTCTATTTTGCCGTCTGTGGGCTTTCAGAACGGAGGCAAAAGGTTTGTTACTAGCAGTTGGTTGTCCGTTGCAGGAAGTCACCTTCGGATTAAATTACCTTCGGACTAAGTTACCTTCGGATTGGAGAGTTTTCTTCGGGTTGAAAAACTACCTTCGGGTTGGCAATTGCTACCTTTGATCTTCCTTCGGGCTCATACACCTGGAGCTTGACTACGTCCTGACTAGGACAAAACAACATCCGCTGAACGGCTGCCAATTGCTGCTCGTCCTGTAGCCCTTCTTCTGCGCCGGCAAATATACAGGGGAGTACCATACGGAAGCGGAAAACCTAAGGTCTTAAGGCACGATACCACGACCCGTACTAAATTTATGTACCTTTTTCTTTAATTTAAATTTGAAATTGTAATTCATTTTTTTATTATTATAATTAATTCAATTTTCGAATTTCTTGGTTTAATTTTCTACCCTCATAGGGTAAATAAAACTAGGGAATCGAAGGGTACACTATATGTATTATATTTTTTTTGCAATATCTTTAAATTTTCTCAAGTACTTTCTGATACGGTATTACAAATTAGAGCGGAACAAAATCGACCGCAACTTATTTCTACTTTTACATATTCAAATGAATGTATCGAATTTCCCGTTGTCTTGTATATCAATATCCCATTTACAGGGCACGGCGTGGTTAATCACTGTAAAACAATGAGCAAAACGACATAACTGTAATCTAATTGTGTGAGTTGATATCTACACTAATTATGAAACTAAGCACAGCTGTATAGCCTAATCAGTAACATAGTGCAAACTAGGTTTTTTTTTGTAATAGGTACATAAAATTTCTATATCACCCACTTGACACCGTGCCCGTCATCGATGCCACAATTCCCCGTTCTCTTCTTCCATTCGTCCACATTTTCTTAAGAGATGACATTCAAAAAGTAATGGAAGAACTGACAAAATAAATAGTATATCCAATCACCAATGAGCAATATTATTTTTTAAGTATTTAACCGCTCCTGTAAAGATGCAGTTTTTTCCTTTACATGTTTATTCGGTACGTGTCTGGCGCAATGTATGTTCTCTATTTGATTCAATTTTTAGGTTTTTGCGATTGTTACACAACGGAAAAGAAACTATTTATTTCGAATGTAAATCGCGAATATTTGGTTTTACAAACAAACCAACGTTTCACGCCCTTTAAAGTAAAATACATAATAAATAATATTAATTAATTATATGATATAACAAACTAGTGGAATAATGTCACAAGAAATAGTTGAATATCAATTCAATAAAATTTTATGAATTTTTATAAAATTGTTAAGAAAGAAAATTTTATTTTGCTTTTAATTACTTAGGCATATAATTACTCATTACTTTTATTATTTCCATTTTATTAACGAAATATTATTTTGATTTTGGCATTGATTTGATTATGACATTTTATTTATTTTTTATTTTTTTTGTTTAAATTGTTATGATAAGTTTCCTTAAATACTACTTTAATTATTTCTATTTTATTAATACAATATTATTTTGATTTACTGATTTCATTAATTATGTTTGATTTCAATGTTATTTTTTCTTTTATTTCAATTTTAGAATTTCTGTAATTTAATTTAATGTAATGTAAGTTAAACGTAAATTGCGGTGCCCTACAAGGTTACATGGCTGTACTTATATTTATTTTAAGAACTAGTGTATTACCTATGTAATGCAATATATGAATAAAGGACCTCGGACCTGTAAAGGTCCCGAAACATTGATTTGATTGAAATAAAATACGCGATTAGATAAGAAAAAAATATTTTCATTTCCAATTTTTTAGATAAAGGTGCGTTTTTTATATAAATGTGGGTTAGCCACCCACATTTATATTTAACATCTTCCGAAAAACGTGAAAGTACAGCATTTAAGAAAGTTCTTTATTGAAACGACCGGCGAAAAAAGAACAACAGTGCAGAAATTTTAAATTTTTTTTCTTAAAGTTTATTCTTAAAGTAATGCATCCAAATTAACGCCCCTGACAAGAAATTTAAAATAAATAGAAAGTTTTGTTATTTCCTGAATAATCACTCTTCTTATGATACCAGAGTGAGCCATTGTCTTGGAGGAGAGACTTTGCTTCCCTATGCCTGTTTTATCGCTTGTACAATGGCCAATATTCTGAAGAACTGTTTGATATGATACCAACAGCAACATTTTACCATCGCACCGCTTGCCAGCGGCAGGGAGTCCATCCTCACACTCTGGAACCGAGTCCATCTCGTACTGTACGGTTTCAGAAGAGCTTTCTCCCACGTACAATTAGGTTGTGAAATGAACTCCCTGTCGGGGTTTTCCCGCAGGAATACAGCATGGAGTCCTTCAAAAGGGGTTTGAGAAGGGCCCTAAAGGGTCGGCAACGCGCTCGTGATGCCCCTGGTGTTGCTGGCGTTCATTGGCGACGGTGACCGCTTTCCATCAGGCGGGCCGTATGCTTGTTTGCTGCCTACATAATATATAAAAAAAAAAATATTTCGAGATCGTTTTAATTACGACTTCATTTGATATTTTTTCAGTAAGCACTATATTTAATTAATTATTGATTATTAATAACTATTGACTTTTTTGCAGATTGAGTAAAATGGCGTTTGTAGGGTTGCCAGTTTTCATAAAATTAAATAGCCGTGTTTTTGTTGACTGTTTTATCGACAGATTGTGAGTTGGGTTATGTATCCAGATTTGCATAACACACATACCTAAAACGTCAGTTCAATGCACTTGCATTCGCGCACCTCGGAACGCGCGTCCCGTGCATTGCAACGTGACCGATGCAAAACTCGTCATTTTAATTATAATTATGAGACACTTTTCGGCCCAACGTTCCTAACATCGGACGTAGACTAAATTCCTTTAGTTAAGATCTTTTTCGTATAAGTACCTTTTAGACCTAACGTACCTAACTTCGGACGTTCTTAAAAATTATTTAGTTTAAGAAATACCTTTGTGGAAATTTAATATAGATGATGATATGATGAATAAATCATATTTTCTCGTCTTTGCTTCATCTCCACTGCGGCCACCCTATATAATTGTTGTATAAATAGTGAATATTGCAATGATATGATACTTATTTATTTATGATACGGGCCAAGCGATGACGGGATGAACAAGTCGTGCGCCTGATAGTAAACGACACTTCTATTCATGCTATGTTGCAACGTCTCTCTGAGACATAACTTGAAAAGTCTCATGTGCAATTATGCATGTTATTGCACCAGTACCTTTACGCTTTTAAACCAGAACGCATGTGAGCATTACTGCTTGGCGGCAGAAATAGGCAAGGTGGTAGTACTTTCCTGGAAGAACTGAATCACTTGGAGCTCTACTGCTATTAAAACTGATCGTTAGACCCGGTGCCAGCTGACCGGATCGCTCGGTAGGGGATCCTTCGTCCTTAGGCATGCCGAAGCATACTGTCGCGACAACGTGCTCGCGTCTGGTCTCTCTTCTGACCAGTCTTGCCGTGCGTGCCCCACGCCCCGGATAACCGCATGGTCGCACTCGGCCTTCCGAAGCATCCCCAAGGCTGCCGAAGCATCCGCAAGGCTGCCAAAGCATCCCTAAGGCTGCCGGCTCTGCATTTCTAAGCATACCGCAGCTTTATTTTGCAGCTACGATGATTATCATTGAAATTGCAACTATAATTTCATAATCTTAAGGTGTATTACTATTTTTCACCCTAAAATGCTTTGCCGTCCCGTCATGTCAGTGGACGCCTTATAGCCTTCTTTATTCTTATTTTAACAGTTGGCCCACTAAAACAATTTGTCATGTATCAGACGTTATCTTAGAAAGGCATTGACTTACAAATAAATGGACGACGGGTCTAATACAAAAACCACGAAAAAAATGTCCCAAGTCAACCTATTCGAAATTTAAATTGTAATGTCATCGCAGTATCGCGCTGTCAGTAGAACAAATGAAGACTAAAGAGGAGTGTCGCGCTCTGTATACGATTTTGGCGCCTTACAAGTGCGGACACTTTTTAGCGCGGACCCGACGTCCATATAATTGTAAGTCAATGTAGAAAGGACGTTATGCGTCGAGGAAAACTTTTTAATTTAAAATGTATAAAAAGAGGAACATTTTAAAAGCAATTTTCTTTCAGTTAATTAGGATCAAAGAAAGCAAAGTAACACTCACTAAAGGAAAGGCACTCGAGCAAATAAATGGTAATAAAAAAACTCAATTTATGTGAAAAGATCTATTCATAGTTTAACGTAATAATACACTAAACACTGGCAAAGTGTTGTAATAATGATATAATATATAACATATGTGTGTAACGAGTAATGTGCGAATAATCGGATACTTACCTATTTACCTAAATTAAGATTATGGAAATCGGAAACAACGACGGTACCACAAACACCCAGACCCGAGACAATACAGAAAAGTTAGTTTCTAAATTAACCCGGCCGAGAATCGAACCCGGGACCAAAGAGATCCCTCGACCATGAAGATCGTCAAATTACAGATTACCGTGAAGTAATTAATTAAGTAATTTTAACATTCTCAACACTCTATAGGATCAGGAGATTGAACAAAATAACTGTTAGAACATAAAGTCTAGTTAATTTAACCCAAAGTAATACGTACGAAGGATTGTATATAATTATTAATTAAGTCTATTTTAAAGCATAATTATTTTTACAATAGCTGAGATGTTTTGTTACAAATAGTGTACATACATTATACGTATTATGTTATCCCAAAACATATTTACTTCGTTCAAATTTACTCCCTGGGTGTGACTCGAACCCAGAATTCAGGTACACTAATAATGATGCCCTGTATCCTTTCAGTAGGTTTCGTGAGAGGTTTTCCATCAGCGGTGGACACGTGGAAAGCTTGCATGAATGCGGAGAAGACCTGGAACATGGTCTGGCGGGCATACGTCTCACCGGCACATAGTCGACGACCTATGAAAAAAGTTTATTATATAAGTAGCTGTAAAATTACGAGCAGAGTGAGAAGGTTGATAAATCTCTCGCAAGATGTCGCTTAGGGCGTTGAAATCCGAAAAACCTCAATACGAAGATCTATAACAGACAAAATAATTTCAGTTGAAGGTTTACGGGAATAATAAGCATTTGGGAGAT